GCCACTCGGTTGCACCAATATTTGAGTGCTTCTTTATAATTATAATGTCCCTTATCTTTAAAAATCTTGATTTGTAACCAATTTTATTATACTTCATCCTAATTGGTCATTAACATACTTCCAGGAAGAAGGATGCATGTATCACGGAATACAAAACTTTCGACATCGATCGACACATTTGAAAAAGAAAGTATATCAATGTCAGGTTATTTTCCAAAATGGTCCATCTTTGCGTGTCCCAATATATTCATTTCACAATCTTGTTTTAATTAAGCTCAACTAATGAAGCAAAAATGTACAGGCTTGCATTGTCTAGAAGGGACCATGGCTGTTTCACTTCATTATATTTCCACCACAAATCGTTAATGATCTTATCTATCCAAGGATCCTATCTCTTACTGACTGTACGAGAAAGGACCACTCTTTTTACCATATGGATGATTTATAGTTTTTTAATGGGTTTTTCCTTTGAGAGGAGGGTTTGTTTTGTTTTTGAATTTTTTTAGACAAAGAAAAAACATTCAATCTATATAGATAATTAATAATGATTTTTAATTTGATGACGTAGGTGTTTTGTAATTAAATAAATAATAGTTTATTTAATGAATTTTTTTATATTTTATCAATTTTATTGTTAAGTTGAAAATTTTGGTAAATATATAGGAATTTCAATCTATGTAGATAAATGATAATGATTTAAGAGTATTATTAAAATAGAATGAATAAATTTAAATTAAATTAACATTAGATAATTTATTTAGTTTACAAAATTAATTCATACATATTGTAATCAATATTCTATATAGGCTTGATATAAATAACGGATGTTTATTTATGGATGAATCAAGATTCACTTGGAGGGTTGCACATGATAATTGTTTTAACGCTTTGATTACTAGGGACTAGTAATAAGCTGGTTGGGGGGTGTGATTAGTACTTAAAAGTGCATTTTTATCATGGTTTTATATCATCATTTTGCACTTGAAGTATCAATAACTTCTTAACTAAAGCATGTTTTATAATAATATATATAATGATATAAGATACCTTTAATTTGTGGTAAATGTTCATTTTAAATTTAGGCCTATCACATAAATGAAAGGATTGATTGATGACTTTAAGAACTTAAATTGCAAGGATAAAGAGATGGTCAGTTTTATTAATTATACATTATCTAATCCAAAAAATATTAAATGTCCATGTAAAAAGCTTAAAAATAAAATTAAAAATTGATTCAAATATCATAACGATACATATTCTACAAAAAGGGTTCATTAAGAAATTCTTGTGTTGGTTTGCACGCGAAAAACCATATGTTCCTTATGTGATCATGGTAGAAAGGATGATTGGGTGAACTTCTAACTCTAACAACATACATAGAGTTGTAGATGACAATAATAATCCTTATAAAACTATGGTTATGGATGTGATGTGAATAAATAATCCTTATAAAAATATGATTATGGATGTGATGTGAATGAATCAAGGTTATACAGGTAAATGCATAGTCCAAGATGAAGAACTAAATGCAAATATAGCTAGTTTTTTTTTTTTATCTTTCAAAAGACTCTTATAAACCATCATAGGGTAAGTGTACAAATCATAGTAAGCTATCAGTTGTTGCATAAGAATTCACTATCAAGTTAGATTATGAGTTGAGTGAGGTTAGTTGTGACATTATTGTTGAATGGGCAAAAAACATTTCACTTGAAAGGAATCGGCTAAAAGAGAACTTCTATTATGTTAAATTCATGATAAAACCCCTCGGCCTAGGATATCAGAAAATTAACATGTGTCCAAACTTCTTCATGTTGTAATAGCTTGAAAATACAGAGTTGGCCGAGTGCAAAACATGTGGGTATACTTGTTACAAACCTAGAATTGTCAGGGTAAGGACTCTTGTTGCACATAAAAAAACTTAGATACTTCTCATTCTCTCATTGACTACAAAGGTGATTCATGTCTCTAAAGACTACTGAGCATATAATATGACATCATTCACATGATGTAGTGGATGGAGTCATGATGTACCCATTTAACGATAAAGCCTAGAAACATTTTAATAGGGAGCATGATTGGTTTTCAATGGAATCAAGGAACGTGTATATTGAGTTATGTACAAACAGATTCAATCCATTCAGTTTATTTATTGTTCTTTATTCTTATTGGTTAGTGATACTTATGGTTTACAACTTACCACTAGGGATGTATATGAGACCAAAGTTTATATTTTTATCTACAGTCATATCAAGTCTTAATATTCCAGGATAAAATATAGATGTTTGTCTTCTACTATTAATTTATGAGTTAAAGCAATTATTGACATCTAGGACTTTGGCTTAGGATGTCTCGATGAAACAGATTTTTCATATGAAGAAAGTTTTGATGTGGACTGTCAATTATTTTCCTGTGTTTTTAATGATTTCTAGTTAGAGCACGCATGAAAAATTAGCATGTTCATACCATATGGAAAATAACAAGGTGTTTACGTTAGAAAATGATGGTAAAATATATTTTTTTTATTTCCACTGACAGTTCTTGCAAACATATAAAAAGTACCAAAAGAATAGAAAAAAAAATTTTGTTGGTAGAGTTAAAAGGGATGTTGCCCTTGTTTCTTCTCTTCTCTCTTCCTCTTATTTTTCTGCAAACACAAACCATTATCTCTCTCTCTCTCTTTCTCTTTTATCTCTCATTCTCTTCTCTTCTCATCCACACCTCAAGAGACAAAGGTAACTCTTCTTCTCTTCTCTTCTTCATGTTTCCTTTTTCTATTTTTATCATTATGATGATCTCAATTTTTTCTTGTTTGGCTTTGATCCTTGCACACTTCACTTAGCTAAATTAAGAGGTAAGATTTTTCATTTTCTTCTATTTTTTAGGTTTGTTTTTTATTTTTTATTAAATTTTTATATTGAATTTTTTTGTTGAATTTTTGAATTGATTGTGATGTTTTCGCGAAATTTTGCTATTGAATTATAAATCCATAATTTCTTCATTATAGGATTTATGAGTTTTTGTCATTGGAAATGTCAATTTATGTTATTATGAGTTAATTGTGGTTTAGATGACAAGATTAGAGGTTTAATTGAATTTTGTTGTTGAATCTTCAGTTTATTATAATAAATAATATATATACTAGTTGTTGAATTTAAAATTGTATATAAAATTTAGTTTGTACATTAATGCAATAATTAGCAATAAAATTATATCCAAAAGTTAGAAGTTATAGAAATTGAATAAAATCAATTAGTTTGTGACAACATGTTATTGATGTGTATTTGTAGGCAAAAACAATTTTGGTAGTCTCCTATATAGGGGACATGCGATCAATTTTTTAATGAAAATAAGAATAGTTTACAGTATCTTAATCCTTTAATTTGTGTAGATGTCTAGGAGAAAGTCAATAGTGCGTCACATAAACATGATCTTGCTAATTCTTCTAGCAACATTTTTGATGACCATGAGTCGTTAGGTGTCAACCATAAATAAGCATCTGAGGCATATGTAGCCTCTCTCGACATGGGTTTGTCAAGTTCGATGCTACCACATCGAGTGGTGGTCCCTCAAAGTAGTATCTATTTACTTGAAAGTACCTTACTCAGTGGAAGCCCAACCACTAAATGTAAGTTTGCTTTCCTTTCAAGCACTACTAAAAAATTAATAATAGTTAATAATTTTTGAAAAATTAATTTTAATTAATGGATGCAATTTCAGGTTTGTGAATGTTAAGGTTGCATAAATGATAACATCAGTGATGAAATCTTTGATTGAAGTATCATTATTTCAATGTAGTTAGGTTCCTAAAAATCTTGAGTTGAAATTTATGATTGATGCATGGTTCAAAAAATTATAGGTTAGTAAATTAATATTAATGAACTAATTGTTTTATAAAGTTGAAATGCAAAGAAGAATTTTACTGGGTTAAGGCTGACAACGGTATTGTAGGAAAGGTTTGGGAGAATCACGCTACAATTATGTAACATTGAAATCAAAATAAATATTTTTTAATCCAAATGCTAAAATTTTATTTTGTATTTATTAACTAAAATTTCATTTCTTCCATATAGGTTATGTGATTTTTGGTACAAGGCTCAGAAAAATAAAAAGCCAAACAATATACTATAAAAAGAGAGCTTTCAGAATAAAAAGACATCGCGGTTTGAAAGGATTTCAAATCTCTATATGTCTCAAAGGCTAAATGGGTAAAATGTACTCAACATGGGATGTCTAAGCATTTCATATGATAGTCACAATTTAGTGCAAAGAACCAGAACAAGCAAATTCACAATTCCGATGAATTTGTTCCAATTGTTTCACAAGCAAATCGGATGGTAAAATTCTTTTTTATTGCATCTATTTTTTTAAAATTATTGTTTTATATAAATATATTTAACTAACAATAATTTTCTCTTGTAGATTATGATTCTTAGATGTGAACCAAGATCAATGGAGCTTTTTGTAAAATATCACATGTGAAATGATGATCGTTGGAAAAGGGTGCAATAGTTTATGGATAGTTGGGCTCAGTATTTTATAGCATGTTGGATTTTAACAATTTATTTTTTTAAGTTATTATTTTTTTGAACTTGCTAAGTTTTTTATCTCAAGAAACATATAATTTTCGATTGCCGAAGAGATACGGGGATAACCCTTCAATCCTTCTAGAACTCAATTCGAAACTATGGTTAGATGCAAATCAGATTTACAGTATCGTAAACACTACAAGTGAGGATTTATAGACAACCTGAAGTGTCCCAACCGTTGATTATTCACAATTGATTCCTAGCAGTTAAACTCCATAGTTTGAAGCAATTTTAAAGCAACGAGTTAAAACTCGTATGACCTATCTTGCTACTGAAACAGAACAACTTAGAGTTAAGATAACCAAATAGATCTATGACAGATTTTATTTTCTTGTAGACAAGAAATGGTGGTAGAAGACAAGGAATGCCTAGTTGTGGGATTTTATTTTTTTGCAGGTTTTTGGTGATAGATTTATGACGGATCCATCTTACCCACGAGAGAATCGTCGTGTAGTTTATGTGCATCCAAACCTTCAATGGGCATGCTTTAAGCATTGTTTGAAAGAGAAGACCTTTGCAGGTGTCTCTACTTTCTGTTTCTTTATTCATACAATGCTCATAAGTTAGATTTTCGCTTTTTTCCTTGTGTCTTTCTAGGCTATAACATCTCTTATTCTGATTATCCGTGTCTTGATTTGTCATCTAATCATATTTACATTGCTCTACATTATGTTTGGTTTCATAAAAATGTTTTCCTTCTGACAAGTCTAAACATATATTAGCTCAAACCACACCACCCTCTCCTACACTTTTACCATCTTTAACGACCCTTACCCCATTTTTTTTCCAGATGTCATTTACACCTACTACCCATCTCCAGCAAATTCATGTTAGTCATAGCCCTACTATCGTAACTCTAATTGTATGCCTTTGTGATGATCATTATCCTGGTACAGGTCCTGACTCTTCAAACTCACTTGCCTCCTCTGTTTCCCCTGCACTGCCTTCATCTGCATCTAATTTTGCCACCTCCACTGCTGGTTCCCGTTCTTGGCCTGATTATGTGTTGGGTTCTTCATCTACAAGTCCTCCTATTGTTTCACCTCCTGGACTGAATTTGTGTGTTGATTTGTCTCAGTTCTCTCTTCAACGAGTCTCGGCCAGTGTTTCTTCTATTCCTCCTCGGGTTACTCTTACTCACTTTATGGTACTTCGCCCTCGCAAGTCCCAAACCGTCAACGTGAGTGTCTCGTCTGCCTTACAGGTTGCTTCTTTGCCTCAACAGGAACTGTTTACTTTTAAGGATGCCAACAAGTACTTGACTTGGCATAAAGCTATGAAAGAGGAAATTCAGGCCCTTCACTATAATAATACTTGGAATTCGGTGCCTTTTCACTCATTCATGAATGTGGTTGGAAGTGTTCAGTTTATAAAATTAAAAGGTACGCATGTTGTAGTGTTGAGAGATATAAAAGCATGGTTAATTGCTAGAGGATTCATTTAGCAAGAAGAGGGGCTAGTGCTCACCATTAATGTTTTTTTATGGTTGGTTGTTTCATTAGTTGAATATTATAATGCTTTCTTGAATGATATTCTTCAGGAAGTGGTGTCCATGGAACAACCACCTAGTTTTTTCATCCTACTTTTTCGTCTCATGAAACAAACATCTCATGCATGGTACAACTGATTGAGTGTGTTTTTGCTTAAATAATAGGGAATGGTTTAATTTATTTAATTAGATGCATGCATAAATTTTTTTATTTACATTTAATATTTTTTATGTAAAATAACATGTTAAAAAAATCTACATATTTGATTTTTTTTATTGAAAAAAAATATCCTACCTGTGACGGAACGTGAATCAAGTAGATAGTTATCAAAGAAAAGAGATGGCCATTGGACTATTCCCTGTTGTTATCATGCATGTAAACCATATATTCCCACATATGGACATGGCATTTAGCTCTGAGATTCAACGCTGGAAAAGGGAAACTAATGAATCCCACCAAAAATCTCTCTCGCTCTCTCCAGAAAGAGAAAACCTTTGAACCATTCACAGAATTTTATTTTCTTACATCCATGACAGAAGACAAGAAATGTTAGTCTCAGGATTATATTTTTTTCATAGGCCTTCGATGATAGATTTCTGACGGATTCATCTCCCCCACCCGGGGACCGCCTTGTAGTTAATGTACATCCAAACCGACAACAGGACCATTTCAGAGGCCATACTTTAAGCATGGAAATGTTTGGCAGAGAAATCAGAATAGTACGTACCAATAAAAGAATAAAAACAAAAGAGAGAGAAAAAGAATTAATCTCTTTCATAATTATATGAAATACTAAACCGCGTGAATTTTTCCTATATCTCATATATACTAAAATTATTCTTTTACCCTTCATTCTTTAAATTTTATAACTTTACTTCAAGGTAGGATCATTTTTGCACACAATCAATTTGTTATTCTTGATTTGTTTGGGGGTAACAACATTTTTTAATAACAATGCAATTACCTTATCGCCCCTAGAGAGTAAATATTCAGAACTTTCGATGTAGGAGCCGTATAGTTAATTCAATTTTGTCTTGAACAATTAATTCATGCAGATACCCTTGCAATGCAAATTTGTTAGCCTTACCTTCAGGGGTTTTATTGTTATTTTTTAATTCTTATTTTTATTGTTTTTTTTATAATTTTATAAACAATTGAATTATTTCATTACCTTTACCATTCAAATTGTTTAACTTTAGCTTTAAAGACTTGGTTGTAATTTTATAAGAGTTTTTTTTATTATTGTTATTGTTTAGTAATGGGGACATTTTCAGTTTTGTTTATGTTAAAAAAGCTATTGACTTGTGTCTGGCACGCATCAATCACTCCATCGCTTTTGGGTAGTGCGTGCGGCTAACAACAATGGTTGAGATCAAGCTTTCAACTTATCATTTGATGCATCTTAGTGTCCTTTTCTTTTCTATGTGACAAGTATATAGTAGTGAGGTCTGGTTTGATACTAATTGACTTTTCTTTTCTTTTTTTTGTTTGTTTTCCTTCTCTTTTTACCTTGGATGGTGTACTAGCCAAGTGAAAAATTATATCAACCCTTTAATTTTTTTTTATTAAGTTCTTCTCTTAATTGCAATTATTTTAATTATATTGATTGATTCTAATTCATTTTTTATTCCATTCCTAATTGTTTAAATTTGTTAGTTTTTTTATCAAATTTGGTCCTCACTCTTTTAATTGCTATTTTTTTATTAAATTACTTTCTTAATTTATATTCCATCTTTGAGCATTTCTTTTCAATGAATTTTTATGTCAAGTTTGGTGCCAATTCTTTAATGTGTTTTTTTAATCATTTTCTTATTGATTTTTTTTTCCAATTTTATCCTTAAACATTTGATTTCATTTAAATTTTCCCTTACCATTTAATTTTAGTTCATTTTTATGTTGAATTTAGTCTTAATTCTTTTAATTATTATTTGTTTTGTTTTGCATTGTTTTTTTATTGACTTCGTTTTCTCAATTTCATCTCTCAATATTTATTTGGTTAAGAATCTTCCTTACTCTTTTTTTAGCTTTGCCTTTAATGGGGTTACCCTGGTCTCATGACCTAGGTCATAGATCTAAAAATTTAGTTCGAGTCGACTTTGGTTTATTTTTAAAACATATTTTTCAAATATTTTTTTGGTGATTTTGTTCTTTTCTTTACTATTTATGGATTATCTTAATTTCATGTTCTAAGTCATGTATTTAATTTCTTCACGCGGGTTAGCTGCTGCGTTCAACTGAGGCTTTTATTTTATCTTTTTTTATATGTTTTCATCATATTGGTAGGTATTCATTCCTTTTATTTTTCTAATATGTTTGGCCTTTCATAATATTTTTTAAGGTGTGGGTTTAGTCATTTTTGTTTGTATTTATTATCTAAGCCATGATTTTTTAGGGTGAATTTATCTTTTATCTATTTGAAAAAAAAATAGTGAACATAATCTAGTAAATATCTCATATTTACAACTTCTTTCTTTGTTATTGTTAATTATTTCTTTTATTTACATAAATAGTTATTGAATTATATAGTTAGATGATTTTTCAAATGACACTTTTAATTTTTCATGTAAAAAAATACATTAGAGTAGATTGCATACCTAGTATTTTTTATTAAAAAAATTTAACATGCAAGTCAAATTCATGATTTTAATGTTTTTGATTTTTTTTTAATTTTTTACACTTGGTCTATTTATACAATTCTTTTGGTTCATTTTTATTCTCTTGTAATTTTTTTTTAATGTTCATTTATTTACAGTTTTTGTTTTTGAAAATTTATTCTACACAAACTAACTAAGGGAATAGTGTTTTATTATAGCAATTTCAACATTGTTCTTTTCTTTTATTTAGTTATTTTTCTTTCCATTTCATAATTATAGTTTGGTTATAAACATGTGAGGCAATGTAAAATAAAAAAATATTAGAATATAATGAAAATGTAAAAGATGAGAAAAACACAATCCATTGTGGGTTATAATAGTTATTTATAGTATTTTTTTCTTTAATTTTTACTGGTAACTTGATTTTTTTATTTACAATTTAATCATTTTATATTAAGTTGTTTTGGAATTGAGTTTAATTTTTCTATTTTAAATAATTTTATATAAGGCTTTTACAATATTAAAAATAAATTTGAACAATAATTTTTATTTTTTTGAGTAATTTTGGAATGTTTTGAAGTTTTAAAGTGATTTATATTGGTTTTTATTAAAAAACAATTATGTATTTTTTTGTGAGACTAGCGAGAGAAATGAAATTTTAGACCGAAAAGGTCATCGTTTTTCTAGCTAGAACAGTAGTAATTGAATTTTGAAAACAATGACAGGCTGTCTGCCACCTTAGCATGCCTTGTTCCTTGCTTAATTAAAAACAGAGAAAAAAACACTCAGAATATAAATAATATATTAAAATTTTAAATTAATTAAAAATATATTTTAAATACTATTTCATTAAATACAATTCAACTTTTACTTTGTTTTTTTTAATAAAAGTACAACAGTTTTTGTTATGATATTAACAAAAAAAAATTACAACCCATTATTATTATTATTATTATTATTATTATTATTAATTTGATACATTTATTTTTCTAATAACATATATTTTTATTATCATTTATTAAAAAAATTATTTCATATAACCAATGTTATTAAGTCAAATCAAATCCATAACTTGAGTTATTACTTTAACAAATTAGTATCAGTTACCCTAATCAATTAAAGATATTATTATTTTAATATTTAAAAAAAAATCATACACATTAAATTTTAATTTAATAATAAAAAAGAACATTAGCAAATGCAAATGCAAATGCAAGCATACTTTTTATATGTATTTAAAAACAATTTGGCATGACCCATAACAAAAGCACATATCAATTAATTACTCTAGTGGCTACTAACTTGAAATCAATTAAGTTTCAGCTTCTTCTTTTTTTTCTTTCTTTTTTAATTTATGGGAATGTTTATGGGATCTTAAATTGTATAAAATGGGTAGCCGGTTAGCCATTCCCTCTCCTAAATTCCTTTCCATGTGTAAGCTGAATTGGTCAATTCATTTTTTTAAAATGAATTCAGGTCCTTTGCACCATATTGATTAAATATATTATCTAAGTTAATCTAGTCAAAAACATATTTTAAAAATCAATGTTTATAACATATTATGATAAAAAAAAATTCCTTTATTATATGATAAAGTTATTGTCAAAAAAATTACCTCAATGTTTTATAACTTTTTGATATATCTTTTTAGAGAAAACCTATGATTTACATTAAATATAACTATTAAATTTAATAAAATATAATAAAATAAGTTCTAATTAAAATACTCTATATTATAGTTCGAGGGTTGGAATGAAAAAAATCAGAGAATTAATTAATCAAAATAGCCTATAATTCCGAGAATGTTTATATGTTTAGTCAACTTAATTAATATCCACCAATCAAATTTTCAATAAAAAGATCTTCGATAAAAACCCTAAAATGGATGCGGCAGGGAGCTGAGGGTTGAACGTGCCTGAACCCTAAAATGGATGCGGATGCGGCAGGGAGCTGAGGGTTGAACGGGTAATGTCTCCATCTTGTATTCAAGAGTCGTTGGGGTACTTTGAACAAAAAGTCCTATCATGCATCCATGTATTGGACCATTGTTGTTGTTCATTGGATAATGTTCCCAATTTATGGGTCATAGAAGATAGCTAGACAAGCCTGGTCTAATACAACTGGAAACCCAGCCTGAACATGCCCAATTGACTAAAAGCCAATCTTCTAGACTTATGAAAAGATCATATATAATTTAGTGCATTCTTATTGGTGAGTTATGATCAGATTAATGTTAGATCCATTGATGATTTTCACTAATTGAATGATATTATTTTTTATTACAATTTTTTCTTTTTGAAATCAATAGAAAAGATTACAATCATTAAATTTGTAGGAAGCACCAATTCCATTCATTCAACACATGGGATTTTCTAGAAAAATACTTGGATTAAATTAGTGTTAATTTTAAATTAAATGGTTGGTGATTTTCTTATAATCCATTTTTACTATCTTTCTTATAAAATACAGCAATTTTTTTTCCTTCTCTTTTTGTTTTTATATGTGCGCGCGTGTGTGTGTGTTTTGCTTTTTTTATTATGTCTTTGATTACTCAACATCTCCCATTTCCATGAGAAAGCATCTAAATACTGGCACAGAAATATATTTTCGAGTGAATTATACAGCTGAAGCGCACACACATTGGTTTTGTTGATTGAGAGCGTGTTGAGGCAGATGCCATGAAAAACAACAGTAAGGCTTAAACAACATTTGAGCAAGAGCAGCCCAACAAGGAACCTTCTAGAACTGGACATAAACTATATGAATCACCATGCAACAGTAGAAATAGAAAACCATGAACAGCAAAACTGAAAAGCATCACCAAGTGTTTTTTTTTTTTTTTCTATAATAAAAGTATTATCGGGTTAACTTACATGTCAAACAAGACCAAATTTCTCTTCAAGATATTAAACTTTTAATATCTACATTAATGCTCGGATTCATTTAAGGAATCTATTATTGCTACGTTAACAAGGTGCTAAAAAAATTTATTTTTATTTTCTTTTTTATGTAGTCATCTAATTTAACGAATGAAAGTGAAAGAAAAACTCAATCTGCTATCCTGTCGTCATACGAAGTTCAATTTCAAGATTTTAAATGGAGAAGGAGCGGGCAAACTTCGTTTTGAAACAGAAGATTCCTTTGCTTTCTCTGCCTATTGTCTTCTTGTTGATTTGCTCTTTAGCTTAGGTTCTATTGTTGTAGAAAGAATAAAAATGATTAAGTGGTAAATGTTGAAAGGAAGCGTATTATTTTCTTAAGTTATTGGAATTCCAAGAGGGTAATTGCATTTAGATCATATAAGATATATAAGTGGTCTATGCTATGATATGATCTAGGCCAAATTTTTTTCAATGTTAAAAAAGATATTTAAATGAAGATAACTTGAGATAACCCATATTATTTTAATTAAAACACGATATGAGATCAAAAGAACCTGCATAAAAAAATAAACAAAAATTGTAAAATTCTAGATCTAATAACTTAATATCAAAGATGAAATAAAAAAAATATAACGCCGCAAAAAAAACTCAAGAAAAAAAAATCAAGAAAAAAAATTTGAGTCAACCCGTGTTAACTTGACTAACCCTCCACCTACAACATAAAATCAAGATAAAAAAAATAAGATTTTCAAAAGAAGAACATGAAAAAAAAAAGTCCAAGTTAAATAAAAAAAACATCATAAAAAAAATGTAAATTGACCAGGTTTGTTTGACCAACCCGCTCTTGAAATAACAAAATAAAAAGATAAGCTAAAAAATGACAAAGCTCAAAGAAAAATAATTTAATAAAAAATTAAAAAAAAAAGTTTTAAAAAATTAAGGAAGAAACAACAAGTCAACCATGGTTTAATTGATTAACCCGTCACTCGCAACATAAGATTGAGATAAAAAAATATTAGACTTCCAAAAAAATCACATAGCAAAAAATATTAAAGTTAAATAAAAATATATTGAATAAGAAACTACGAGCTAACTTAGGTTAACTTAACTAACACAACTTAGGATAACACAACAAAGAGAAAAGGTTAAAAAATCACATAACTTAAAAGTTAATAATTTTACTTTAAGATAAAACTGTTAAAAAAATTAATTTTATAAAAAAATTGAGATAACTATGATTAATTTAATTAATCTATTATTCGAGATATAAGATTAAAATAAATTATAAAAAAATATATCAAATAATAAAATTAATGGTTTAATAATTAAATGTTAAATATTAATTTTTTAAAAAAATCAATAAAAAATTGCACTGTTAAAAGGATAACAAAATAAAATATTCGTCCATGGTGTGACTACCAGTATGCTATTTGCTGGAGTTTGACTGCATTCGGACAGCTATGATATGATCTAGGCCAAATTTTTTTAAATGTTAAAAAAGATATTTAAGTGAAGATAACTCGAGATAACACATGTTATTTTAATTAAAACACAATATGAGATATGAGATCAAAAGAACCCGTATAAAAAAATAAACAAAAATAGTAAAGTTCGAGATCTAATAACTTAATATCAAAGATGAAATAAAAAAATATAATGCCGCAAAAAAAACTCAAGTCAACTCAAGATAACTTGATGAACTCACAACTCATGATATAATATTAGGATAAAAAAAAAAGAATTTCAAAAGGACCTAGTAAAATAACAAAAGTTCAATAAAATAAAAAATCTCGAGTTAACCTAATTTAACTCCATCAACTCATTCTTGGAATAACCAAATAGAAAGAAAAGTGATAAAAGGACAAAGCTCAATGGCAAGTAATTTAATGTAAAATGATAAAATTAAAAAAAATCATAAACAATTCTGAGTCAATCCGTGTTAACTTGACTAACCCTTCATCCATGACATAAGATTAAGATAAAAAAAAAAAGACTTTCAAAAGAAGAACCTGAAAAAAAAAAAGGAAGATCCAAGTTAAATAAAAAAAACATTGCAAAAGAAAATGCAAACTGACCCAGGTTGGTTTGACCAACCCGCTCTTGAAATAACAAAATAGAAAGATAAGCTAAAAAATGACAAAGCCCAAAGAAAAATAATTTAATAAAAAATAATGAAATTAAAAAATAAAAAAGTTTTAAAAAATTAAGGAAGATACAACAAATCAACCATGGTTTACTTGATTAATCCGTCACTCGGAATATAAGATTGAGATAAAAAAATATTAAACTTTCAAAAAATCATCTAGCAAATAAGACTAAAGTTAAATAAAAACACATTGAATAAGAAACTACAAGCTAATTTGGGTTAACTTAAGTAATACGAACTCAAGATAATACAACAAAAAGAAAAAGTTAAAAAATCACATAATTTAAGAGTCAATAATTTTACGCTATGATATAAAACTGTTAAAAACAAATTAATTTTATAAAAAAATTAAGGCAACTATGATTAACTTAATTAATCTATTATTCGAGATATAAAATCAAAATAACTTATAAAAAAAAGGTACATCAAATAATAAAATTAATGGCTTAATAATTAAATGTTAAATATTAATTTAAAATAATCAATAAAAAATTACATTGTTAAACGGATAACAAAATAAAATATTCATCCCTGGTGTGACTATCTAAGCTACCACTATGCAATTTGTTGGAGGTTGACTCCATTCGGACGAGGAGAAGAAAATTCGGAAAAAACCTGCCCTCCAGAGTTGTTGCCGAATTAAAGAAAATACGTGCCCTTTTGTCAGTGTTTGGCACAGCGGTTTAATCATTGATTTGCTAATTTTTGAATTTCATTTTGTTTCAAATTAATGTTAATTTATGTCTTTTATCGTTTTGATAAGTTAATATCAAAAAATAAATTTTAAAAATAAAAAGATATTTCGATATATTTTTAAATAAAAAAATATTTTAAAAAATAATATTTAGGATAATTCCAAGAAAATCAATTTTAGTTACCTATCCAAATGTGACGCGCAGCAGTTTTGACGCTCAGCGCGAGGCGCAACCAACCTCCTGGAACTTGATTCACATGTTATTACAAATAATGAGACAAAAGGATTCCCCCAAGCACAAACACATGGAGAGAATCTGCTTGCAATAGTCTTGTCAAACACATGGAGAGAATCTGCTTGCAATAGCCTTGTCATTTTCTTCTTCTTCTTCGTTTTCTTTTTCTTTTTTCTTTTTTCTTTTTTCTTTTTATAAAGAGACAAAAGGATCTTTTCTTTCGGTCCACAACATCACCAATCCAATCCACTCAGAGACTAAAAGTCGTGCCTGCTAAAAGATTGGGAGACACTCTCGAGCACCTGCTCTTCCCACAAGGAGATTGTAAAAAATCATAAAATGTTTTGTATGAGATATAGGCGTATGAAATGCGCCTACATTTTTTATATTTTAATCCACCAACTTCCCTTTCTAGCTTAAATTAATGTACTAGGATCTACAAGCACAAATTTATTTTCGCAATTGAAGGCTAACTCCGAAACACGTGTCGCACTTTAGTCGAGTCCGATAAATTTAAAATAGAATGGAACCGTAGTTGCAAGACTCTACGAGGCTGGCGGTTCAACCCAATGATTTGCTGATCCATGATCACCAAATAAAATAAAACACTATTTTAGTTATATATATATTATTCCAGAATCTTCTAAATAAAAGCTTAGATTAACACCCGGAACCTAGGCGAGTCAGGCCACCTCCCGAGTACGTTCTTATATTGGGAACGTGGATAGAAGGATGATAGCTTGGGACTAAAAAAACTTAATGGCCCAAATCAGGTTTTTTTTTTATTTAAAAAAAAGTAGGGAATAAAATCCACAAAGCTCCTAACACACTGAAGAACTAAACCTTCAAGCAAAACCATCCTTTTGTCCCCAATGTTTCTGGGAATAAACACAAACAAGCTGCAATTCATGGAATTTGCCAATGGAATTAGATTAAAAGAAAAAAAAAAGACATTATATCTGGACCATGAATGTGCTTGTCTAATTGATGCATGTTCCACCTTGCTGATAGGAGCTGCGCTGGGGGGAGAACTTAGCTTATAGCATGCTGTCAGATCTTGTAGGCAACCTCCTAAAGAAGTTGAGGGGAACTGAAGGAAGCTTGTGGCGGAACCTGGGATGTCGTAGCACATAAATGCCGATAAGAAGGCCTACAACCTGAAAAGGAGTGACATAGAGAACTATGGCAGCAATTAAGCAGAATGTCACGAATAACGTGGTAGCCCTCGGGTCTCTCCAACTCAGCAGAGACTGGAATCTCTCCCCTTGAGTTGCGAGATCACCTACTACAGTCTGAACCCTCCCTGCAATACTTCTTAGACGATCGTATCGCATTCTGACAATATCTGATGGTCTGGAAGTTGGGAATGTGTCAAATTCTTCATCAAGTTCGTCAGGATGAGCAGCATCAGCATGAGAAAGCCGCGTGTCCATGTGAGGAGGGTGCCTTGGTCTCCACCGGAAGTTCCATAGTCCAATCACGAAAAGGTAGAGGAAAACTGTGGGAAGTATTAGCTCAGGATAAAGGACCAAGATTATGAAAAGTAGGTGAATTAAAATGGTAGTCAGAGGGTTCTTCCAATAGCAGATTTGATCAAACCATTTTCCAACAGCAATCAAGCCACTTAGAACACCCATAATTCTGAAAAAGTTAGCTTTGCTCCTCCTCATGCTCCACTTATGCAAATCTACATCTAGCATATATTCCACAACCTCTTTCCGCAAAGGTGGTTCAGCCCTGCTCAGCCTCATCGAGACAATCTGCATTGCTTGGTGCCTCAAGCTATCAAGCTGCATCACTGACAATGGCTGAATGTAGTGCATTTTTGGCAACAACGGATGTGAATACATGTGCAACATATTAACCAGAGATGAGCATGTGAACCTCACAGCTAACTGAACTTCACCCGTCTTCTTCACCCCAGAAGGATGCAGGACCAGAAGAGGGTAGGAATGAGTATAAACTCTATCAGTTTCGAGTGTGGATAGACGAATCCTCACTTTCCCAATTCTTGAGTCCTTCCCCCCTCCACCACCATGAAGGTGACCATTATCAAAAACCCCAACTGTAATGACAGTACATGGGTCGAAAACCTCCCAAGTGTACTGCTCATTCCACCTCGGAGTGAAACTGTCAACAATTGTCCTTGTCCGGACCCATTTCTGCCCATATTTAGCAACACAATAAGCATCTGTCGTACCTCGGCCATCCTTTGTCTTCATAGGCATCAGCCCCACAGCACTTAGAACCCCCAGTTCCAAAATCCCAATGCTAGGCCTCCATAACTGTTTTGCTGTTGGCCTAAGGTCACTGCTGTAGTGAGTTGATTCATCCAAAACATGATACCCTCCATCTAAACAGATCCTCACATGAATCCTGCTGGAAAATTTGGTTTCTTTCTTTAGTTCCCCATCTAAAACCACATGCTTCTCAAGATTAAACCACCTAGTGTTAACTGGCTTGTGGTCTAGCCTCCTCTGCACAAGTTGCAAAGGGATCACACACTTACCCAAAACTTCGTCTTTATTTGGTCCCAATCTATCTTCCACAGTCAAAATCAAAGGCTCCTCAAAAGGTTCAGCAGCTACAAATATCAAGTCATCATCCCACATTGGATTGATAGTCTTAATTTGAGATGTTCTGGTTCTCAGTGCTTGATTTCCTAGGGTGCCCTTCACAAATACTTCTGGGAACCGACTTTTGTCACTAGGCACCAAGTCCTGAGCTTCAATCACATTGACCCTAACATACCAAAGCTTGGGTGAAAGATATACCTTAGATCGGATGTTGTTAACACCATCAGGACCAACACTGGCTGCATCTGAATGCCAGGCATCAGGGAATGCCTCATCTGCTTGAGTTCCCATCCAAACAGCCAGCATCAGCTCCCCAGACTTAATCTTACCACCCTTCCTATCTTCCAGTCTATACCACTGTGGTGCCAAAGGACTATCCGGCGGAACACGTTTTGGCACTTCATTGAGATCAAACATCATCCAACCAATCAGATCATCTAAGACAACATCCTTATCCTTCACAAACACCTCCAGAACTGAAGCTTGAATTCTATCTTTCGAGAAAGCAAAAACCTGATTCCATTCTGGGTTGCTTTTCTTCTCAAAATGCTTAGTGACTCCCTTGTAATTTCCAAGCTTTACTTCAACATATGGATCGCAACTACCAGTAACATCTTTGAGAGGCAAATCTCTAGCTTTCACCACACGAACATAGAGATATTGCATTTGCTCAACAAGGTCATAGGTGCATGAAAGTTTATTGCCCGTGACAGATCCCGCACCAATGTTTGGTGAGGTCTCCTTTAGAGCAAAATCAACAGATTGCGGAAGCTTCTGCATTTTTCTAAATTTTCACTAACGAAACCAGAGATATGCAAACCAATGTTTGGTGAGGTCTCCTTTAGAGCAAAATCAACAGATTGCGGAAGCTTCTGCATTTTTCTAAATTTTCACTAACGAAACCAGAGATATGCAAGGAGCACTCAAAAATCACACAAGGGGGGATGGAGGCTTTCAAAATAAGGATATTGAAACAGGATATGGATTCAACAGAAGTAAATGAAACTTCACGAAATGACAAGGCTTCAAATGGTAAAAACCCAACTTTGTTGTTATTTCCAGGCTAATTGGACAAATTTGAGTCACTAAACTCGATGTTGGAATACAAGGAAGCTAAGAACTATTTTGAAAAAGATAGCTCAAAGAAGGTAAAGATGGAAGCACAGGAAACAAGAGACTAAAGAACCTTATAATTCATCATCCAGAACAGGGTTACAGAGCAACATTAGGCACTTCAATTGGAAGCTCTGGACCAGAAACCACAATATCTGCAAAAGCAAAGCAAGAAAATCACAGGGTTAGTGTTAAAACCCATAGCACTCCTTCAACTGCTGAGAAAATGAAAGAAATCAAAGAAAATGACATAGCAATACCACAAGTTCACAACAACCAAACAGAACAGATCACACATTAATCAACATGGACTTGTTGGACTCCAGTCATAAAGAATGTGGAGTTTGTAACAGTAACACAACAGATCTACTGCAATAAACAAACAAAAAAACAATTGAACAACCTATGAAATGAAATCAAACTCAAGAATCAACCTTAAGCAAACAAAACTAGGAAACTCCAACTTTTTCACACCTCCACGAGAACGGATGCAAGTATAATATGCACCATTCCCACTACTTAAAGAGTGAACAAAAAACAGCATCAGGTTTCAACAACTACTCAAACCACACAAACCTGTGAGTTTCTGCATTGCATAATCAAGAAAAGAAGAGAGTATAAAATTGAAGTACCTTAGTAGTCAGTCAGCCACTAGCTACAGTTGAAGCCTAGAGCCCTTCTTTAAGGCGCAAAAATGGAATGGTAAGAGAGCAATAATGGAGCTTGAAGAGTGAGGGAACTTATGTAGAAATGTGGAGAGCATGTGGGGTGCAGATATCGAAGACTGAATCTACTAAGAAAAGAAAATAGAGAACGTAGTCTACTCTCTACCACCTTTCTTTGAACCCTTTTTGACAATTTTCATTTTTATTATATTCTTTTCTTGGTTCATATTTTATTACATATTAATTACTAGGAGGACCTCGTGTTTTTCTGTTTTATAGTATGATATGACTACATTATTTAGCTTAGGGAAGTGAGACACACGTGCGAAGAGCATGGTCGGTTGAGACACATGAGGGGAGGACTTGGAGTTTTTTCTTTGTTTCGAGGACTTGGGAGATGAGAAAAACTCTTCTTTTAATCTTCCTGGTTCTCTCTTAAGATTCGCTTCTTACAGCGTAGGCAGCAGGGTAAATATTAAACACGTAACAATTCTGATCTATGAAATTTGAGATAAGAGCTGGATGGAGTATACATTTCCAGTTGAATTAAATAAATTGTGACTCAATGAAATTTAATTATTTTTGACATATTTTTAATTATTTTATTGACTCAATAATGAGTCAATATTTCATATATATATAAAACGATATTGCTTTCTAATGGCGACCATGCATTGACCCAACAATGGCTTTTTTTTTCCATTATCAATTCTGGAAACTAACAATAATAGCATAAAACAAGTCAATGGGCACTTGCACACCATGAGATCACAATGATAAATTGAAGCATGGGCACTTGAAGGGTACTTCTGACAGCTTCCCAGAATTTAATTCACCGGCTAATGGGAAACTGGAAGCATGGACACTTGCACACCATTTTGTGACACAACACACATGTCTTCGATAAGTAATTTAATAACAAAGATATGGACTAAATTCATCTCTCTGAAATAAGCTATTTATTTTTACGTAAGATTCCTTATTTATTAACTTGTTCATGGACGAATTCAATGACTTAAGTTAGTGTAATTGATTTTTTATTTTTTTATCAAAATAATATTATTTTAATAAAAAATAAAATTAGGTTAATTTTGCCAATTTAATTTTTAAACCAATTAAAAATGCATCGATTCTTTTAAATTTTTAAAAATTTTAAAATCACCACAAATCTTGAATTGGATTTCACAAGTATGATCCATTCACCAATTTTTTGCATAAGAAAAGTATTTCCTTTTTTTATTTTTTCTTTTTTCAAGATTAGCAACGGATTGTTAATTGTCTCGTCATGGAATGATCATCGTGTGGTACAGCTCAATCTACACAGATCACACGAACCATAAACGACAATGGAGACATCATAAGATGGACCACCTTTCTTCGAAATTTCTTACCTGAATTCACAAATTGCTTGAAAAGAAGACTTAGTCCTTCAACTGGGAGGGTAGTTTAGTCATATGATGTTACTTCTGTCCTTTTATATTTTGACACGTTGAAGTTGTCGTGTGGATTCAGTTTCAGGATTGCTGACTTGCACTGAGGCTTGCAGTGTCGTTTCTTCTCAGCAGAAAGCACCAGCGCTTTGGATACTTTGAATATTCTACCAAAACACTTTACAGGTCATTTGAAAATATATAATAATGAAAAAAAAAGTCATAAAAGGGGATAAATTGTGTAATTAGTGCAGGAAAAAAATAGCAAAGTAACAGGATGAAAAACTGTAGGTGAAATAGTATAATGTGATGAAATTCATTTTAATAATGTCACTTTTAGAACCGTAAAATTTGCCTAAATAGTATTTTGTGTGTACCATAATATTAATTAGCAAACTATTTTAAAAAACAGCTTGATATTTTAGAAAAATAGTTGAACAATGGTCAAAACAGTCAAATAATTTTGATCAATGTTTAATTTTGAAATTTCTTTTGTGTTTTTAGCCTTAAAAAATCCACAAAA